GCCTCCAGCTGTTACTAGAAATCAATAGAGTTCCTGTCAAGGAACTGTAGGTGCATCACTAAGTGCAATCTCTTTGACTGTCTTGCTCAACTGAAAAAGCAGAAAGATCAGCAAGGGTGCTCCCAAAGGCTGGTCACATTTTTATTTTGCTGCTCTGGCTTATGTTTGCAACTGAATGTGTGTCTGCAGTTGAAGTGATGAGAGAAAAGAAAAAAGAAAAAAAAAAAAAGAGGAAAGAAAGAAGAGGCTCATGGCAGGGCCATGACATTCCACAAGAGGAATCACTGGTGTACATTTCATGGACCCCCTCTCAATCCTATTAACGTATGGTAGTCTTGGTTTAAAATAGGCATGTATGAAACAACTTTGAGAGGAAGAAACTAAAATGGCTTGTGGATGTTTTTTTACAAATGACGAAAACTACCCTAAAGATGTTGTTTTATGATATTTTAGTACACTACATAAAAATTAACAGCTGCAATAAAAAGTGTTTTGGTATAATACAAATTAGAAACACAGAAATGTGAAGATATGAATGCACATTTTCTAAAAATGTGAAATTATGGACAAAAAAATCACGTACAATAAACTACAACAAAAGGTAGGTACAACTGTACTTTAATTAGCTCTTTCTACATTGTTGGAGTTTTTCCCATTTGAAGAGAAGGTATGATATTGGTTATGAAAACGGACATGACCAGGACTCCAATAATTAAATTCCCTGATTTCTCCTGGTGCTGGATGAGACATCCTGGCTGGAAGATCTGACTGAAGGCAAAGAACTGGTTCTGTGTGGTCAGAAATGGAAGGATGTGTTGACTGAAGACCCAGTACCAGTTCTGTTCTCTGTAAAACTGGAGGGCATGTTGACTGAAGACACGGTAAAAGTTCTATTTTGTGTCATGCGTGAGGATGCATCCATTGATGACCCAGTATCGGTTGTGGTTGGTATTAGGTTGATGAATGTATCCAGTGATGACCCAATGCCTCTTCTGCTGGGTGTCACATTGGATGTGTTGGCTGAAGACACACGGTAAGGTCTGCCGGGTATCACATGGGAGGATATGTCCATTGATGACCCAACACCTGTACTGCCTGGTGTCACACTGGAGGGTATGTTGGTTTCAGACAAACTGTAGATTCTGCTAGGTACCACACAGTGGGGTATGTTGGTTTCAGAGATGCTATAAATTCTGTAGGGTGTCACACTAGAGGTTGTGTCGGATTCAGACACCACGTACGTTCGTTGTCTAGGTGCTCCCCAGTGTGCTGGAATTATAATGAAGAATAAAAAACATCAGGAGAGAATCTACTTTCATTGGAAACACCTCTCACAAAGGTACCTATGTGAAGTACTTATAAGTGATTGCTTCTTGTTTTAAGTGCTTATTTGAAACACACGGCACCTGGAGAGAAATGTTAATCTTTAATAAAGAATTGACATAAGCACATATATGCCACTTTAGGAAGGTTTGGAAAACAATAACACTATGCAAAGTGAAACAAATACTTACAGACATCTTTTACCCCGCCTCATCTTTAGAATTGTTTGAGTGTGTTTCTTTCATCAAGCAAAGAAACTTATTCTAGCCTCCCTGACAGAAATTTTAATTCCTGTGCTAGCTTTCACCATGCCCTTTCTCCTCTGACAAAAGTCGCAGAAGATTTCCGTTAGCACCTGTTGTATTACTCCATTATATAAATACTGCTGTATTTGCCTACAGAATCCATACAGCATGAAGGGAAATGCTGGCTGGGAATCCACATCCATGAGACTTTAACTGCACTGAAATCAGACTCACCAGCTGGAGCAGGACCACGAGGTGTACTGGTTCCATGGGGTAAGAATGGAAGCTTAAAAGAATCTGTTCAGAGAAGGTAAATTTACTTCAGAGACGGTAAGTTTTAAGAACAAGGACATGCAGAGAACTGAAACGGATCTGGTTGCAAGGAAAGGCTGTGTCACTTCAAGACACAGTGTAGGTTCTGTAGGGTGACGCACCAGAGGTTGTGTCCATTCCAGACACAGTGTAGGTTCTGTAGGGTGTCACACCAGAGGTTGTGTCCGTTCCTGACACAGTGTAGCTTCTGTAGGGTGATGCACCAGAGGTTGTGTCCGTTCCAGACACAGTGTAGGTTCTGCAGGGTGACGCACCAGAGGTTGTGTCCGTTCCAGACACAGTGTAGGTTCTGCAGGGTGACGCACCAGAGGTTGTGTCCGTTCCAGACACAGTGTAGGTTCTGTAGGGTGTCACACCAGAGGTTGTGTCGGATTCAGACACCACGTACGTTCGTTGTCTAGGTGCTCCCCAGTGTGCTGGAATTATAATGAAGAATAAAAAACATATCAGGAGAGAATCTACTTTCATTGGAAACACCTCACACAAAGGTATCTATGTGAAGTACTTATAAGTGATTGCTTCTTGTTTTAAATGCTTATTTGAAACACACGGCACCTGGAGAGAAATGTTAATCTTTAATAAAGAATTGACATAAGCACATATATGCCACTTTAGGAAGGTTTGGAAAACAGTAACACTTTATGCAAATTGAAACAAATACTTACAGACATCTTTACCCCCCCTCATCTTTAGAATTGTTTGAGTGTGTTTTTTTCATCAAGCAAAGAAACTTATTCTAGCCTCCCTGACAAAAATTTTAATTCCTGTGCTAGCTTTCACCATGCCCTTTCTCCACTGACAAAAGTCGCAGAAGATTTCCGTTAGCACCTGTTGTATTACTCCATTATATAAATACTGCTGTATTTGCCTACAGAATCCATACAGCATGAAGGAAATGAGATCGG